AATAAAATTTGGAAATTATATTTGCATTATAATAACTGTCTTTTATCGATCGATTGGCCTTATGTGACTGTTACTCAGATACACTAAGTCAGGTCTTCTGACATTGGGAGCTTAGACATCTATGCAAAGTGTAATGTTACACATATATAGAGGAATGTTTACTAATGTTATATAAGACTTTGATGCAAACTCATGATAAGATTATTGAGTATAGAAAACTAAGAAACTGAGATAATGGAAACCTACTTGGAAATCCCTAAGTAAATAAGTAGCATGAACATTTAACAGTATTATCAGACTAGTTGAAGCCCATAAAACATCTTTATAGGAGCCGAAGATTAAAACTGAATGTCAAATATGTGTAGAGAAGCACATAACCAATCAGGCTATTGGATTTGCTAAAGAAAAAAAATACATAAGTATATCATACTAGGTCATCTGAATTGGTAGTCTGGAATGAGACTAATGGTTCTGAGTTGCAACTAGTAAAGGATAATGAAGAAGATACCAGAAAGATAGATACTAGGGTTCTAGTGAACTTTACAAGGATAGAAATAGTATAATATAGCAGTTAAACAGGTAATTCCTGTGACTGCAAGTATTAGATAACTATAGTATGTTACATAAAACTAAGTCTATATGTGTGAGACATAAAGGCTCTAGTAAGTTTCCTATCAAAGATAATGTAGTTCTAAGAGTAATGATAAGCATTGGGAACTTGGATAGGTGTAACCTTGAGATGTTTTCATGATACAAGAAGGATTGCATATACAGAGGGTTTAAATAGGCAAAACTTCTAGTTGGCTTGCAGGTATAACAACTAGTGTAGAACTTATATAGCAATATATAAGCAAACTACTTAAATTAGACACCAAAAGTGCACATGTGACTAGTTGTAACCTTCAATGTAAGGGAGCTCTTGAAGGCACTTGTTTTCTAACAAAACTTGAATAAAATATTGCATCTTCAAGATAGGGACTTTAACTATAAAAAAAAAAAAAAAAAAAAAAAAAAAAAGTAAGCAATATAGTAATTAAATAACTATATATAATAAAATTAAAACTATTATATTTATATATATATAAACTATAACTGCAAGTATAATTATTATTACAATATGTTATTAAAATTTTAATTATAAGCAAATAAAATACAAATAACTTTAAAAAGTTTATTTTAAAAATAAATTTATTTTAAATAAAATATATAAAAAAAAATTTATTAATTCTTATTTAGTTATTTTAAAATATAAAAATATAAAAATTTTAAATAAATGTTTTTTAATTAAGTTTTAAGTATAACAATTGAGATGTAATAACTTAGTAAAATGAATAGGTTGGCAAACCTAAATGGCAAATCTAGAATTTAAATCTCATAAATAATGAATTTTGAAAATTATATCTGTGTTATAATAACTGATTTTGTCAATTAGTTAGATTAGTATATTTATAATCTTTAGTTATATTATTTTAAATAAAAGCTTAAAATATTTATACAAAAATGTAATATTATATATATATAAAGAAATATTATAACTAATATTGTATAAGATTTTAATGCAAACCTATGATAAGACCACTAGGTACAAAAAATAAAGAAACTGAGAAATTAGAAGCCTATTTGAAAATTTTAACTAAGAAGAAACACAAATTTTTGACAGTACTATTGGACTAATAGAAAACTATAAAACATCTTTAGTAGAAATAGACAGATAAATTAGATGTCAAAATGTATAAAAGAGCATATAATCAATTAGGTTTCTAGAATTATTAAAGAAAAAGAATACTAAAATATACTATATTGAACTATCTAAATTAGAATTTTATTAGTTTTTAATTGTAATTAGTAGAAAATAATAAAGAAAACATTAAAAAAATAGATATTGAGATTTAAATAAATTTTATAAGAATATAACAGTTTAATAATTAGCTCTGACTGCAAGTGCTGGTTTAAACCAAATTAATACTAAGTTAGCTATAAGTATGAAATACAGAAAGTTACAGTAGATTTAATATAAAATTTAATATGACTTAGTGATTATAATATATTTTCACTAGTTTACTAAAATTATTAATAGTATAGAGTAAATATAAAATCAAAATGTTTAAATAAAAAACTTATAAATGAGTTCTAGATATAGCAACTAGTATAAATCTTCAGATAAACTACTTAAATTAAACAACAACTAAAGTTATATAAGTGACTAGTTGAATACTCTTTTCATGATTGCTTCTGTGTTTGTTATATAACAGATGTTAGCTAATATATACTACTGTATTAATAAAATTTTAGATTGCAAATACTTATCTTAACATTAAAAAAAATAAATAAGTATAACAATTATATAATATAAAACCATTAACAGACTACTTAATTAAACAATTAAAAATTATACATATAACTAGTTATACTTTTTAATATATATATAATTAAACTATTGTAATATAGAACAAATAAGTTTAACCAATTTTTATCAACTAAAAACAGACCATTAAAGATCATTTTAATATTGAAATAAAATTATAAATAAAACAAATAAATTTATAACATTTCTAATAGGATGTAAAAAAATTAACTTTATAAATATACATATTCTACTTTGTATATTTAATAGAGTATAAATAGTTTAATAATACACTTTGATTATGAGTAGTAACTATAATTACTGTGCACAGAACAGTACAAGCAAACAATACTTAGGTATTATTGAAACAACTGGGTAAAATCAAACACATAAGATTAGGCTAGCTAAATATAAATCCAATTTAGATTAGATTCTATATATATATATTTGCATAATGAAATCTGTAAAAACTTCATTTAAAACCTAATAAACATATGTGCTAACATGTTACCAAAGTTTTTTTAAAAATAAATAAATAATATCACGTTATTACTTATTAGGTATTTTACTCCTGAGTAATTATTTTCTCTATACAACGTTCGCACCTGTCGAATTAGTCGGTGTTACAGTACATCTCAGTTATTGTGACGGATTAAGCCACCGAAAAATACAAATTTTTGAGGTACATTTTTTTAGGGTTAGGATTAGTGGTTAGGGGTAGAGTTTATAATAAACAAGTATAAGTGGATTTTAGAGGTCAAATAGAAATCCCTCATTTCATTTTGATTCGATTTCATTACGATCCGTGACAGTTAATACTTGCAAATTTAGTAACACGAAAGGTAAAGTGTTATATTGCATATGCAAAAAATTATAAAATCCTTTTAAAAAACTATTCGAATAATAAACATTAAAATTTTTTTAAATCTGTCCCGATCAGGTTATGGATACCAAAAAAATAACTTTGTCTGACCTTATACAATATATAATACTTTAAATTTAAATTTACAAATTTTTTAAAAAATAATTTAACTTAGGAATAAAAGCAAGAACATTATTATTAAGAATAACATTTTTTTAATTTATTACGTAAAATTTGTTACGTAAGGGTTTTATCAATCCATGTGGCGAACAATACCGAATAATTCTGTCAATTAATTATATGAGATATACTATCGTTTTTATCGTTTTTAAATGAGTTAAAATCATAGATAAATAATAAATGAATAAATAAATAAATAATACGGTTGAAAAAAAATCACAACATCAATATTGATGCGATCAGGCATAACTCACGGCTTAAAATAATGAGATACTTCATTTGTTTTAATGATTAAATAAGGAATATCGATATGATTTGAATCAAATGAATTCCTAAAAAGTAATAATACAATGTTCTTTTGTTGTCAAACTTTTAAAAGACTCTTAAAAAGTGAATTTAACTTGATTTGGAAATTCAATGAGATAATGATCTTGAAAGTTTTTTTTAAGACGAGTTAGTATGTGCGAATAATTAACCGTTTTCATGTGAATATTCAACAATATATCTAACTGATAAAAGTGGCAAAAAGGTTCGATTATTTACAAGTTTATGTTCTCATTGGCTAAAATTAAATTTTATATGTTGACAATTACAGAATAAACCAACCAAATTTTATTAATATTCGCAGTCTATGGTCAAGATGTTCAGATGTTCACAAAACGTGGTGGTTCGTTTTTTTTTTTCAATCTACATATACGTATGCTCATAGCAAAAAAAAAAGTAAGACGCTTTTATATAAACGCTAATATAACTTTGTGTAGTCAGGGATTTTTCAAATTCGTGTAATGTAGATCATCTCTCTTTATGGTGAAAATTTTTCAATTGGAAAATTCTTTTTAATTCTATAGTACGAAATTTACACCAATCATTGACTGTGTTGTTATTTGGCACACAATCTGCAATCGCCTTTTAAAGCCTCGTACCCGTCAAAAAATTTCTACCCAAATAACCGGATAATTTAATAATATCCGGGTAATCTATTATAAAAATGTCTACTCGGGTACAATCTCTAGCCTAGGCTACATATTCAAATTGGTTTTAGAATAACCTCTTAGTATATTGCAGATCATGATATCAGTTCTGTGCAACTAAACAACTAGAGGTTAATTATTAAGAGATCCGTTAACATAATAGTTTTTTTTTTTCTACCTTAAATTCTTATCAATTCTTATCAATTTTTTATTGATAAATATTTTATGTATAAGAATAACTGTTAAAAACCTCCCCCAAAAAAAGAAACGTAAATGTCGATGTGTGATCTCATGTGTTCTGTTTTTGTAGTATAAATTATATTAGCCATCAAAATGTATCAGTATTTAAGTAATATCCCTGTAGTAACCCTGAAACATCTGAACAACGTATCAAGCCATAGAATTATGCAATCAAATTAAGCTAATGCCACATTAACGTTTCACAGAATTCGATTCAAAAAGCAACAAAAAAAAAAAACCAGAGTGCAGCTGGAGTTGAAGTCTCTTGATCTCTACTTAGCTCCAAATATCAGAGTGTCTGTTCATCTTCTTCCACTATCCCTTTCATTTTTAATAACTTCCTCAATATTTCTCTCACTCATAAGACACTCAAGTTCTTTTTTTTTTAGACGCTTGATTTAAAATGATTAGGGATAATTTGATAATGCGTATTTGTGTTCGAAGTTTCGCTTGGGTTTATTCTTTTCCTATCCCCATTATATCATTTATTTATTACGTTTTTTATGTAACTCAAAGGAAATCTTTACTTGATGAGTTACTCCCCTACACCTTCTCCAGCGAAATTTTGAACCCTTCTTGGTCTGGTTTTCTGCATTATTGGCTTGGAGTTGAGTTGGTATTTTTACTATACTTCCAAATGACCAAGTCAAGATTTCAAAGCCATTTGCCCCCTGTTATACCTTCGAAACAGACGAGAATTGAACTTTATAAATATTGTTTCTGTACTATCGATAAATTCGAAGACTGGCTCGAAGGTTGGTTTAATATTGGTCATAAAAAATCTACCATTAATCAAATTTACAGGGATAACTTTGCTGAATGGTATGTATCAAAGGTATAACAATGAATCTTTCTTTCAAATATTCTAAAAAAAAAACTTTGGTACTCTATGCAATTTTTTTTTCTACATCGTCAATTTTTATTTTTATTTTATGCTTCACATGTAACTTAAAAGATTGCTTAGAAAATATTTAAAAATTGCATAACACCAAAATTTTTTATTATTGTATAGGAATAGTTAAACAAAAAGAATTTATATGATTTAAATTGACCAATCATGTGATTTTAAAATTACCAATCATAATTCAAGGGAATTGCTACAAACACCGCAACACGTGATCTTGTCTTATCAGCATCGCAATGATCTTTAAGCAAAGATAACTCGGCAAATACCAAACCAAATTCGATAACCATTTTTATTTTAATTCTACATATTTTGTGGATTAACTTCATTCAAAGGTTTTAAAAAATCTTCCGCGCTATTATTTTGATAGGCATTTTAATCTTTGAACGAAGATAACCCGGTAATCATTCAACCAAATTCGATAATTTTTTTTTAATTTTATTTTACTATATTGTAAAATCAAAATAAAAAAAAAGTCCATCAAATTTGGTTAGTTTGTTGCTGAGTTATCTTCCTATCAAAACAATAGTAGCGGCAAAATTTTGTGTGAAAATAGCTTGGGAACCACCCAACCAAATTTGATACGCTCTATAGAATCAAAATAAAAAAAGGTTGGTTAGTTATTGCTAAGCTCAAAGTTATGTCGATCATTGCGGTGCCGATAAGAAGATAAGGTCACGTGTTGCAGTGTCGGAAGCAATTAAGTTCCAAATATTAAAACATAATGCCCGTGTCCGTACCCGAGCCTTACTAATAATTTCCTTATTTTTCTAGGTTATCTTGGGGGTTTTTTTCTATTAGCCTTGAAACAGCTCGCAACCATTTAGAATATTCAAAAGAAATAGATGAAATAATCGAATCTGTAGAAAAAAGTAAAAACATTAAATTTCGTGAAGGATACAATCCAAATTGTGAATGTATTAAACTCACTCTAGATCCTGTTAAAGCTATTCCTAAGCCTTTTATTTTGTATACTGTAAGTGTTTTATATACGTTGTAAGTAAATCCGGAATTTAAGTGGTAGGATTTTAGGTTATATAAAATTCTACCTTAAATTCTAATTTTATTAAGAATTTCAAAATCCACCTAAATACCGTTCCTACTTACAACATATCTGTGTATGTTTAAATTATTATAAAATAAAAATTTACCATATTTATTATATTAATTATATTGGTTATATTTATTATGTTTTTATAATATTTATTAGGTTATCTTCTTATTGAATTCCACATTCAATATTATACTAAACTTTTATGGTTTCGAATATTTTGCTTCAAAAGAAAGTATCTTAAATGGTTACTGGTCAAGTACCCTGGAATTTGATATTCAAGAAGGTTCTCATCCATCAAGAATCAGCTATTGGTATTACGACCCTCATTCTCGCCACGATTCATTCCCATCGAAAAAAAAATGTCATAAGAAACCAATCGTTTTTATTCACGGTGTTGGTGGTGGTTTATTTTGTTATTCTAATTTCATTAGAAAATTATCGAAACTGGGTCGTCCTTTGTTTTTGGTCGAATTACCTTATGTCTCAATGCAGATGGTTGAAGATGTCCCGACTATGGAGGAAACTGTTCGTGAAATTAAAAAAATGCTTATCTCTCGAAATTTTCAAAAAGCTATTTTCGTTGGCCATTCTTTGGGCTCTGTTGTATGTTCTTGGATGCTTAAAGAAGCCAGAAAATATATTGGTGGTCTAATCTTGGTAGATCCAATTATTTTCTTATTACATCACCCAAATGTTGCTTATAATTTCAAGTATAGGACTCCAAGAGCTGCCAGTGAGGTATTGTTTCTACTTCATGTTTCTCTTAAATCATTTATTTCTTCATTTCTTTTTTCTAAAAATTTTTTCCTAAAATTTAGCACATCATTTATTTTTTCGCCTCACGTGAACTTTACACTTCCTATTATTTCTCACGTCATTTCCATTGGTTTCAGTGCATTCTCTATATTTCATCGCGTTATATCCTTCCGAACAAAACTTATGTTTATATATCTGAAAATGATAATCTCGTTCCTTCGAAAGAAGTCTACAAGTACCTTGTTAAACATAATGTAAATGTTCACATGATGCACAAATTGGATCACGGAAGTTTTTTATTTGATACTCGTTGGGAAAATCAAATTATTGCTGACGTTTTGAAATGTTGTAATTCTAGGTCTTGATGTTCTTGATAAACTAAAATTTGTCATATTTTTGTTAATTAAGAATTAATGATTGTAGTCAATTATAAGATTAGTAGGATCATCGCTGACTTATCTCAAAATTAAAATATTGAACTATAATCTAAAAAAATAAAATAAAAAATTTTTTATATTATTTTTTATTTTTGTTTTTTTGGAGTAAATCTAGATTTTATAACCTTATATCTCATGAAAAGAAAAAACAAACTAGATTTTATAATATTGCACATTTGTTCAATATTTTTTTTTTTGTATTGTACATAAATAAAATAACGATGTCAAAAATGTATATGTAAACATTGATGTGTGACATTTACCGAAATAACAAAAAGTTCTGCATAACATTTCCAGATTTTAATGCCATAAAATTTTCAAAATCTGTGCATTATTTTTAAAGTTTCCGGTAGAATTCGCTGACAATCTCTAGCCAACACTAACTATAAAGCAGGCCAACCGGGCTACAATTTGTCGGCAAAATTGATTTATACCCTACTTTAGGTATTCAAAGGTCTTGCTTCAAAGACTTCAGAGAGAAATAGCTATACTAAATGCAACATTAATGTAAATAATTTTTATACTTACGACCAAATTTATGCGAATGAAATGATTTGAAGGATATTAGGTAAAGGTAAATAAGTATTTATGTTCTTGATTTGTGAACTTGTTTTTAATTCCAATGACTAATAGATGTTCTTTATACTCACGATCTGAATATATGCACGTTACATACATATTTTTTGTCAAATATTAGAAGAAAGATTTGAAAAGCTATTTTCGAAAGACATTCAATAATTTTGAATCTAATAAATAAATAAAAAATACTATGACTTGCAGATTTGAGTATAAGTCTCGGGTATAGAATTTGTTATTCATTATCATTTTTTGACTCATCTTACAAAAAAATGATTTCAAATATGTTTAATATGATATTTTTGCATTTAACAGAATCAGAATGTCAGTTAAGTATACTATTAATCATAGAAGTAGGTTTGTGTTAAAGTTTGAAACATCTTTTAATCATATTATTATTTTTTTTTATAATTAAGATGAAGTTTTGCTTATATCTTTATTAATTTGTTAAAGTCTTTAGAAGCTTTTTTGAATATAAATTACAAACTTATTTTATTTATAAATGTATTACAAAAAGTGAAACTCAAACTATAAACAGATTTTATTTAATTTATCTGCAATCTAAACTACTAGAGTAGTCAAAACTTACCTAGATTTGATAATATAAAATATTGGTTGTAAAGTATATAGTTATATAGTATTTAATATATAGACCAAAAATCAATTTTGCAGAATACATATTTTAATAATAGACAGTTATTATTTTTTGTATAAAGTTAATTAAATAAATTATATAGTTGAAAGACTGTATAATGTAAATTACAATATTAATTAGAGTAGTTATAAGATTTTGTATAAGTTATAAATTTAGTAAAATATTATTATTTTTTTTTATTGTGCTAGTTTGGTAATATATAGTTTTTAGATACAGTTATATGTTTTTTGTAATATTTTAATAAGCAACTTAATAGTAATGTAGTATAAGATCTAATTATTATAATTAGATTTATTGGTACATATTTTTATATTGTTGTATATATGCTAATTTGTTTTCAATAAATATTATTAAATAAAAAGCTGTTATATTAAATTAATAGATTGTATAATTATTGTAATTGTAGTTGTATAATATTTAATGTTGAATTATTAATAATTTCAAAATTTGTTTTATAATAATACTAGCAAAATTTGTTAAGTTAAGATATAGTAATTAGTATAAGTAATATTTAGTATTTAACAAACAATGCAGTTATTATATTGAAAGCTATTTGGATATAATTTATAAAAGTAATATAATATTAGTAAAAAATTAAGTAATATTTTGATTTTAAAAGATTTATTTTATTTTTTTAATATTAAGATAACCTCTTAGGTTTTTTAACTTTATTACTATTTTTTAAATAATTAATTCATATTAAAACTACTACAGAGAGAGTATACAATTGATTATATATATAACTTTTCTATACTATTTATCTAAAGAGTTTATTTAAAGATTTCTTACCAATTGTTATATTTGATACTTCTTCTTAAATATTTTATTTTAAACTTTTTAAATTAGCTCTATGTTAACTTTACTAAGTTACTTTAGAGACTTTTTTTTATCTTAAAACTAATTTATCTTTAAGGTAAATCTTTTAAAGCTTTTTGTATATTTATTTATAGTTAATCTGATACAGTTGTTCCTTATTAATATCAATTTACACAGGTTAAATGAATAAATAAAGAATAAATAATAGGTAAATAATAGAAAAAAAATCTGCCATTATTCTACCTTATATCTGCCAAATAATGGCAGCATAACAGCAGTATAACAGCAGAATAACAGTAAAATAACAGGAGGTTTGTCAATATGAGTAACATAATAGTAACA